CGGCATATTTGACGTTGATTTTTTATATCAATAGCGAAGGGACGTTTCGACCGAAACGTGTAGGAGCCGATTTAAATTTCAATCTGAAACTTTTAACGAACGGTAATCTTTTATTGATGTTCGATTGTAGGGGTAGATCGTTTATAAATTCGGGACAAATAATCTACTTATTACTAGACTGCGGATTTTTATGCAAAATGGTATTTTATAAAGTAATTTATATAGGCAAGAACAAACACAGGAAGTTTTTTTCTCAAGTATTGCATTAGATTCAGAATAAAATATAAAACATGTTATATCTGACTAAAGCTATGTCTTTTATTGCATTTCACGGACCTTTTTGTACATTATAAATTCATAAAATCCACAGTCTATTTATTATCCATGCGAATGTTGCAGTCGCTGATTAGAGAGAGCCATTTAGAGTATGGTTGCGTTTAAAGTTGTTCCAGTTGAGAGATGTTGCAGCAACAGTTATTATGTGGATGTGTTAAACGTGTTCAGAGCCAGGGATAAACGGGGGCCGTATTGTAATTTAACGATTGTTAGTGCTACTGAAAGTGGTTGTATCGGGTCGCGAAGGTCTGCGAGTACGTTGTAACCGATGCGAGATAATTGTTAACGCGGAATATGAATATAGACCATCGGATTGCATAAAGTGATAATATCTTTGTTGACTTACCTCACAATGCAAATATACGATGTAATATGTACAAATACGTTTCTCCTTTTTCTATACGTCATTTCCGTGGATGAGTTGGAACGATGCATTTTTTGTCGCGCGAATTTCGAGAGGATAGGAAGCGGAAGGAATATATTTATAAGAAGAAAGAATTATATAAGAGTTATTTGTTAAGGATATTCACCGAAACACAGAAAGTGGAGATAATCGAGGGCCTATAAAGGCCTGACATATTGTTATGTCGTATCGTGATTCGCAATAAAGTTTATATGTCATTCAGTTCTGGTTGAATGTCAGTATCCCGAAAAATGAATTTCCCAATTGTGTCTCTCATTTTATAGTTCTGATATAGGAAAATTGTACAGGGCAACATAATTAATTCCAGAATGTCGAAACACAGTCTCCAAAGAAAATGTTTCGTATCCTAGTTTCCTTTATCGACCATTGACATTTGACATCACATAATATAAGGTTGGCAAGATTGTGTTAACACTTAACCTACAGTTTAAAAGTTTGGAAACAGTAATATTTTTTTGTTAACTACGCGCTACGCTTGTACTACGAAGCTCCGAACAAGTAGGTCAGCATGCATCGCAGGAAACTGCGTATAATAGCAAATAAAAAAGACGTAACAAATACAATCATACTTTTTATCATCTGTAGTTTGTTATTTAAACAGATTAATCAATGAAACGTAAATGCAGGCAAATTATGTGTAACGTAAAAAGATGAATGCAAATTTACTTTTTTGTGAATTCCTTTTTACGAATTTCTAAATTTCCTTTTCAAATAACGTGTGAACGAAAAGGTAATGTAACAGAGAATGAACGAGAAGTGATCGTAGTTCGGTATTGGCATAAAAGTTCGTAGTTTAATAACGGGCAACAATGTTACTGATAATGAATAAGTTTCTTCAAAAAGCCCGAAGAAAAAATTAGGTGCAGAAACTTGCAGAATTATCGCCGAAAATAAATCATAGCTTGCGTTAAATTAAAAAAATAATAATCAGTAATAAATTGGTTAGAACTCACCCTTTCGGAAATTCACCTGCAGTTTGCAAACCTGTGTCACTAGATCACTGAACCGATCCTGGTCATCGACTGCCGAAACGGTTTATGGCAGAGTATCGCCCAGTTCGCAGGTGATCGCAGGTATACCTCACCAGCCGAAGTTAAGGGTTGTAACGTCAAGTGCGTTCTGGTTATTCCACCGAATACGTACTCACTTCACTGTACGACCACTAACACTGATCACCCGACACAATCACTTAATGTATTTTTAATCCAACGTGTTGTTCCTACGTTAGGAAAATTCGTGGCCCCGAAAAGTGCCGATTGTTTTTAATTTATCAGATGTTCTACGTAGCCAAACACTCGCACAGCAGCACCCGCATATCCGTTCTTGTGTACATAACACCATAACATTGCGTAATACTCCCGTGAACTGAACATCTCTGTCGCCCGATTGCTAACCGACTGACAGAATTTTTCCTCTACCCCCAAGTAGTTTCCCATCGTTACATTGTGAGTTCACTCCCACCACGACAAGATTTAGGTAGAAAGAAACCAACGGTTCTAGGATAACACGTGCTTTGCAGAAGTGGAAAGAAAGAACCGTCGCGCAGTTTCACCAAAGCGCGTAGCCTGTTAATTTATTGCCAGGGTACCTACTGCTTTGAGATAGAAAATAGACATCACGTACATCGGCTTGAAAATGTCCGAAATAAAGAGGACCACCAACGTACCCGTTGCTTCGAGTTGGAAAGTACAATGTACATTGTTTTCCTCGAGGAGCAGGGAAAAAATTTCACCGACACGTGTGAATTGACGCTGCTTGGCCCTGTCCGACCACCTTTATAGAGGCCGGTGCGGACTTTTCGGTTATTTATGGCTCAATTTCTTCGTCCTCGTAGCAACCGTGAACTCACAATAGAATTGACAATCGACAATTTTAACATAACTCTGTGAAATTGTAGTTCTCATAAAAATATTTCATACGTATTTTTTTTTAGTATTCCGTCAAATATCTCGGAAATTATTAGAAATATAAAAACCATATAATTTGCAATATTGTGTTTGTTTTGATATTGAATGTAGCTATATCATTGAATTCGAGAATAATCCAAAAAATATTCTACCGTATTCGTTGAACTCTTTATTTTTCTAATAATTTCCGAGATATTTGACGGAATACTACAAAAAAGTACGTATGAAATATTTTCATGAGAACTACAATTTCACAGAGTTGTAATAAAATTGGCGATTGTCAATTCTGTTGTGAGTTCGCGGTTGCTACGAGGCCGAAGAAATTGAGCCATAAATAACCGAAAAGTCCGCTCCGGCCTCTAGAAAGGTGGTCGGACAGGGTCAAGCAGCGTCACACGTGTCGGTGAAATTTTTTCCCTGCTCCTCGAGGAAAACAATGTACATTGTACGTTCCAACTCGAAGCAACGGGTACGTTGGTGCTCCTCTTTATTTCGGACATTTTCAAGCTGATGTACGTGATGTATTTTTTCTACCTCGAAGCAGTAGGTACCCTGGCAATAAATTAACGGGCTACGGCCTTGGTGAAACTGCGCGACGGTTCTTTCCTTCCACTTCTGCCAAGCACGTGTTATCCTGGAACCGTTGGATTCTTTTTACCTAAATCTTGTCGTGGTGAGAGTGAACTCACAATGTAACGATGGGAAACTACTTGGGGGTAGAGGAAGCCCTTTCGGAAAAATTCTGTCAGTCGGTTAGCAATCGGGCGACAGATATGTTCAGTTCACGGGAGTATAACGCAATGTTCTGGTGGTACGTACAGAATAACGTATATGCGGGTGCTGCTGTGCAAGTGTTTGGCTACATAGAACATCTGATAAATTGAGAACAATCGGCCCTTTCCGGGGCCACGAATTTTCCTAACGTAGGAACAACACGTTGGATTAAAAATACATTAAGTGATTGTGTCGGGTGATCAGTGTTAGTGGTCGTGCAGTGAAGTGAGTACATATTCGGTAGAATAACCAGGACGCACTTGACGTTACAACCCTTAACTTCGGCTGGTCAGGTATACCTGCGATCACCTGCGAACTGGGCGATACTCTGCCATAAACCGTTTCGGCAGTCGATGACCAGGTTCGGTTCAGTGACCTAGTGACACAGGTTTGCAAACTGCAGGTGAATTTCCGAAAGGGTGAGTTCTAATCAATTTATTGCTGATTATTATTTTTTTAATTTAACGCAAGCTGTGACTTATTTTCGGCGATTATTCTGCAAGTTTCTGTACCTAACTTTTTCTTTGGGCTTTTTGAAGAAACTTATTCATTATCAGTAACATTGTTACCCGTTATTAAACTACGAATTTGTATGCCAATATCGAACTACGATTACTTCTGGTTCATTCTCTGTTACATTACCTTTTCGTTCACACGTTATTTGAAACAAATTCGTAAAAGGGAATTTACAAAAAAGTAAATTTGCATTCGTCTTTTTACGTTACACATAATTTGTCTGCATTTACGTTTCATTCATTAATCTCTTTAAATAGCAAACGACAGATGAGAAAAGGTATGATTTTATTTTTTTCTTTTTTATTTGCTATTATACGCAGTTTCCTGCGATGCATGCTGACCGACTTGTTCGGAGCTTCGTAGTACAAGCGTAGCGTTTGATTGTAATAGATAGGTTTCCTAAACAAATGTTACCAGAATTTTGACTAATCCTATAATTCAAGGCAATTAAGATGACCAACAAAATCGTGACAATTGTTCTATCAGATCCCACTTTGGCAACCTAACGGTGTAACATTACATGGGCATATATTTTCATTCGAAATTGGAAAGAAAATAAAGTACAAGACAATTTGACAGTAACATCAGATTTATTATCGCAGCTGGTTACTTTCATTCCAACAACAGATCGCGAGAGACCCGCGAGTCTGAACAAAATTGAATCCATCGAAGACACGAAGGAGTACAGTCGACCGTGAGAACTGTGTGTAACCTCGTATTACATTAAATGTCGACTAATTGTCATCCGTTTTCATACAGTGGCCGCAGTTCCTGCTGTGATCCGTGTCCTCCACGTCGCAATCCCTTTCCCTATTCGGATTCTCGCGTCGGTCCTGCGTTATCGATAGATCAACGGCGTACGAACGATGGCAAATGGCGCCTATCGTTTCGCTTCTCGGCAGATTAGCCTCGGTCACGATCATCGACGCTAGATCGTTCGAGCGATCCGTTGGAATGATCCTGATTGAACCGTTCACCGGACCGTGATTCGTACGAGCATTATAGTTTTGCTCACGCAATTGTTTCTCCGCCGTCGAGGCGTCCGGCGAATTCTGTCGGCCCGTTGTCGAACTTTCGCCGGAGGCATCTGACGGTGCAAAACGGGTACGTTTAAAATGTAATCTCGTTAATTGTCGGTCAAATTGCATATCTTTTTTTTTTTTTTTTTTTTTTTTTTGGAACTTTGAACTTGTTTTGTACAGATACGGATTTAATACGCGGAAGAAGATACGTGTAGACTATTTGATATTTTAGTGGTGTTGCTTGCCATTAGTGGATTGGTTCGCTTCCGATGCTGTTTCACCGGTACCGGAAGTGTCCTCGTCCTCCTTCAGCGGCAACTCGGAGGACTTTTCGATCGCTGGACGACAGCAAGCGTATCCCTGAATCGTGATAATGTGTTTCATCGGTATATTAATTTACACAATTTATTTAAATATTTATTGGAGAAAAGTTATATTAGGTAATGTGTAGGGGAGAGGTGGGATGAAAAGGATATTTTTGTTTTGAACAAAATATAAAAAAAACTAGAAGAATATTCTACTTCTAATTGATAATGTTGGAAAGTTTAGCAACCTGGTTATAACTATACGTAGTGATATTAATCTGGCTTCATATATGCCTATCTTATTTTTCGCTTTTTAAAAGAATGTATTTTAACAAAAGAGAATAATATCAATATTAATACTTTAATTATTATTTCTTCATCAACATAAATACTATACTACTACCAACATATTTATAACAAAATTTAGATTAAACTTACATTACTTAAGAAACAAAAATAATCCTCAAATTAAAGAAGAAAAAATAATTTTTCGATCAAAAACACAATATATTTCTTAAATTAATCAAAGTTAACAGAATAACACAATATTAATTATTTAATGGCATAATGAAAAAAATCTTATTTCGATACTTATAAATTTACTTAACGTTAAAACTTATTTTCTATACATGGTGTGAAATTTTCTTCTTACCTGTACAAGGTCCATACGTGAATCTAAAGAGAATTGTTTTCCTGACATTAGTATTCCTCGAATTCGACGCCGCATAGCTACGATTGCAACAGAAATACAAAATTTACACTCTTTATAAAACTTGCGACCGTATTACAGAAATATAAATCACGTTGTCACAGAATTTCTCAGTAGTCTTTTACCTGGACTGTCTCTAGCCTCGAGTCGTAATTGGCCGAAAGCTTTCGTGCACTCATCGAAAACGTCCGCCGTGTCGTAAATGGCGGCGAAGCTGCCGTTCACGATTTTCGGGGACATCGGTGAATTGGCCAATAGCAAACTCGAGCCGAAATTCTCGTTCTTCTCTCTCGTGTCTGGAAATTTGTAATTTTGTAATTCTAGTTAGCCGTGTTTCGTTTTACAATGCAATCAGGATTGGGGGAACATACGCCATTTTTTACGGCGAAAGGAAACCACGAATTAATGGACACACCAATGAAACAAATATGTAACTGGAAACTCGTCTTACCTGAGCTTTCTGTACTCCAAACATTATAGCGCATTTTTTACGGAACAAACAAAAAGTTAAGCAAAACAGTGCTATTGGAAATAAAAAACTGTTTATTATCGTTCGTACAGAGTGCTTAGTGTACGTCGGAAATGTAAATCAGTAGGGGAAAAAAAATCAAAATTTAATTAACCAAACCCTGTAATGTTAGCTCGAGTATTCACGAACAATTTTGATTCATATAAACAAACCAGAAATATTAGTATTTACCATGTGCGTTATCGACTCTAATAAAGAATTCTGTACCGTAAACATAGAGTCAATATTTCAAATTCCAATATCAACGCGTTGCTCTAAAAGTATAATTACAATAATTTTCAAGAAATAAAGAACTAAGAATAGTATTCTTCCAAAATGATAGTAACAACTAAAATGGTGCAGACATTTTTAAGAGAATCGTTTAAAAGTTATTTACTCGAAGAAACATTATTTGTTGTTCAAAGTATCCGTTTCATTCTTCAAATAATAAATGTAAGAACGAAAACGGAAACAAAATTTGGATCGGTTTAAGAAGCTGAAACAGAATGGTACTTTTAATGAGGCAACCAAGCTTAAACTCGTTCGCATTCTTACTTTCGAGTATCGATCGTATCAAGACCGTGTAATCGATCTCTCTTATCGAATCTGCGTTACCTGCTAGTGGAACTCTTGCTCGTACTGGAGAACTCGAGGTGTCTCCTAGGATCTCGTTCGCTGTGTTCCGTATTTCCGCCCAGTCTCTCAAAATGTCCTCGTTGGTCGTGCTATAATTAAAAAAGAAGGACCAAATTTTCTAAAAAGTTGTATATAAAAGCGTCAATTCATCCTTCGTATCTATCCCATTTTTACTTTGCCTTAAATTCATTTTAATACTCGATGCAAAGTTTGTTAAAAGTTACGTATTTAGTGAAAACAAAATGGCGGATCGAGCTTACTTGGTGGAGGTGACGGTGAACCTAATCACGTATTTCCCGTGTAAAGCTGCTGGTACACAGTGAACACGGCCTCTCGTGTTCATTTTCTTTAACAAACGTTCCGTTAGATTATTTTCACCGCGAAGCCGGAAGACGACAAGGCCCAAGTGTCGCGCCGCGGGAATTTCGAACCGCGCGTCCGCTAACACCAGTGCCTCGAACTTTTGTGCCAACCTGACGCCCTGTAATTAGCATCTGAAGTCGGATCATTGAAGAATAAACTATATTTTCGACTTATACACTTGCAACGTTTCTAATACTGTCACAATAATTAATTGTGACCTTTAAAATTGTAAAAAGTTCGGGGAAAGAAAGAATGGAATTCGTCTGTAAAATATTTTGAATGAATGCAGTTTTGCTAATTTTGATTATTTTTAGATGGAAAGATAATATTCTGAGCAGAAGATGTTTCGTTTCGAACAGAATATGGCATAGAAGAATTAGAATATAGGGAAATAGAATGTTCTTATACTGAAAGAAACTGTCAAAGTTATTCCAAGATTAAAATATTTTTCGAATTTTATTTTCTGGTTAGTTATCTTTAAAAATAAATTCAGATTTTGAGTCTTATGTTTATGCTTACCTATTCAAACTTATTGAAAATTATAGTACACTAAGTTTTTAAATATTTCTGTTTGTTTAAGAAACTTTTATCCTTGTCAGAAACTCAATTCACTATTTTACAAACAAGTGAATAATCTATCGAATTTTGTCTTGAATATTTGAAATTAGTTTTCACTTTGAGTTAAGTCCAAACCGACAAATCAAATAGCCCTTCCAAGATGAGGATCGAATCTCCCGTTCGTTACAAAGGGATTAGGGGATTTTGTTGCAAGTGTATACTCGACTTTATCTACACTTTTTAACAAGGGAAACGTATGATGTAATAGAAACCTCGCGGATATGTTTCTGAAGGCCGGTGATTCCGTAATTTCTAATGACGAACCACAATTTCAAGGCCCTGAATCGCTTCGACAACGGGATTTGCCAGTGCTGAAACAACGTTGAACGAAGTAACGAATAACAACAAATAACAGAAAATATCTCGATAATACGAAAGTATACTCGATAATAATTTCGTGAACTTATTGATTAGTTACCATATAATCGATAGCAAGCCCTGCAAGTAAATAAGACGCCGTGTTTAATCGTATATCACGCTCGACCGAACCCGAGACGTCGATTTACGAACGATACGGAGAAAATATCGGCTCCTTCGTTACCTGAATTTTCATGCTTCAAATATAACGGATCCACGTTGAATGTCCTGTGAAGCGCCTGGCTGCTTTTCACCCTGAAACACCCATAGAAATGGTCGTTAAATAATTCTTCGGACCGCTTCTTTTTATCGTTCGTCGCTTCTACAAATTTTATATTTCTGTAGAATCTCATTTTCCATGGTTCAGTTCAGCCTGTGGTATTCGTATTAATCCCCTATTACAATTAAATTCACTCGAACGATTTGTATTTTACTAGCAAATTATTAATTTCATTTCTTTTATTAATTGCAAATTAACAGGGTTACTTTATTTGCGGAAAGGACAGAAATAAACATTTCTGATTATTACTCGCAAATCATAGTTTAGTAATTCCTCAATAAGAATGAATTATTCATTTACTTCCAACCACTATACTGGTCTTATTAGTTCAAATATCCTATGTAATAAATTATCGTTTTTTAAAATTGTTGGAAATATTTAAAGCTCCACACCTTTTCGTTAAAGTTAGAATGTCCTATATGCTTTTGTAGAGCTCTAGAAACATTCCAACTTATTTGTTCTAAGTATTTGTCAGGTGATTTTACTAGTTTATATTGTCACGTACCACATCGACTAAGTTATGTAGGGAGTTTCAAATTATCGCTCGAAAGGCAGATTGATTTATAACCAAGTCGCCTTGCTATTTGGAAAGCATTAACAGTTTCTAACAATAATATGCAATAACGATGATGAATGTTATATTCAAGTTCTTTATCCAATTATTTGTGTTTAAGTTGCGTGTAAGAAAAGATAAAATAAACATGATTTAAACTGTTTCCTATATTAAAATAACCCACGATGTAAACCAGGGATGCCACAAAGAAAATTAAAGAACCCTATTTTTCTCAGATATTTGAATATATTAGTTAGGATAATTGAGCTAAGGAGGGTGGTATAAAATGCTTTGGAAAAATTAGAATTTGCTATAATGGTTGTGAAAAATTCGAATAAAGGTAACGGAAAAATTGAAATTTGCTATAAAGATAACGAAAAATTGGAATTTGCTATAAAGATAACAAAAAATTGGAATTTGCTTTAGAGATTCTCAAAAATTCGGATTTGCCATAATGGTTGTGAAAAATTGGAATAAAGGTAACGGAATAAGTGGAATTTGCTATAAAGATAACGAAAAATTGGAATTTGCTATAAAGATAACAAAAAATTGGAATTTGCTTTAGAGATTCCCGAAAATTGGGATTTGCTATAAACGTAACGAAAAATTGGAATGTACTATAAAGGTACCGATCAAATTATCGTGAAGTAATGAAGCGTTCGATGTATTCGTTCGACCGGGCGCCATCGGCTTTAAAAGACACTGAAATATCATTCCGAAAGATTGTGAATTAAGAGGTCGCTCGAACGGCCCGACGGAAATTGCGGGAAGAATGAAAAAACTGATTCTGCATCCGCAGGCCGACCTACAAGCCACGAAAAAGACGACGAACTTTGCAAGAATTCACCGTGCGATTTACGAATTTTCCTTGTTTTTTCAGTAGTAACTTTTATCCACGAATGATGAAACAACGAGAAAAATAGTGTAATCGTAAAAGGTCGTTTAATTAGTCGTTTCAGAACTCACCACATCGCGGTGCAATCGAAGTGCACCATCAGCCATTTGCTGGGATTAAATGCAATCGAATCGGCGTATTCTATTCCTTGAAGCCAGCCACGGAATTCGGGGCAGACGAATGCACTACCTGCATACGCTGCATCCACGTGCAGCCAGAGTCCATTTTCGACACCTGTTTAGTCATTGTCGATGTACGCACGATTCGATTCGAAAATTTCTATTGGGTTGTTCGGAAAGTCTGTAGTGTTTTTATTGAATTGAAGTAGTATGTTGATATGCATAATATATAATACAATATAATATAACATATTATAATGTAAAATTGAATTAAAAGTCGATATAAATTGTGGAAAAAATACCTTTATGATTTTAATAATTGTAGAGCAAGTAATTTGATATCCGTCATTTTGATGGGATTGTTTGTTTTAGTGTTAAACGCAGAGTAACTATGTATACATATATGTATACATTTCAGTTAACATCATATTTTTCCTATTGATCATTTTTCATTTAATCTTTAAAGAAAAATGTACTTTCTTTTTATCATATATTTCTTCGTTAGATTTCTCGATTAATTTCATTGTACCAGTTACATACAACTTTGAATCTTTTCGTTAAAAAACTTTTCAACCTACTTCTAGATGGATTTCCTTTTCGAAAGTTCTTCTTAATACAGAATATTCTAGCGATCTAAGGAAGTAGTTATCTGACGTTTTAAAGTGTAATTAATTGGGCAGATGCTATTAAAATTTCCAGTAGAAATTGTGTAAATTCTTTACAAAGTTGATAGAACGTAATGAAAATGGACTTTGTACTTGTTCGTACGTTTCGTCGGTATTTCTTACAGAAAAGAAAATAGAAACGACGAGTATAATAACTTGTACATCAAATACATTCAATCCACACCTGGACAATTATACTTGTTTACCAGATCAAACGATTTTTCCTTCGTCCACTAAAAAAGTAAACATGACACCGTGATTGAAATACTACAAATTTTCTGAACAACTTAATATCTCAGTATCTTAGAATCTGACTTTATATACGATGTGTTGTACAATATTCGAATGTATAACAACATTTTAACACATATTGCAATCTTTTTTAAATTGAAGGTTAAAGTTAATAACAAAGAATCATTGCTATTCACTCTTCCGGGGACAGTTAGAATTCATTTGTGGAGTTTATCATAAAATGTTTTTAAACGTTGACAAAATTACTGATTGCACGAAGCATGACACAACTTAAATCTTTTCATGCTTGTGTTCGACAGAATAGGTTGTTAATTTAAGAAAATATTTTTTACTTACAGACTTGGCCAACTTCTTTGAGGTTGTCGAAAGCACACGCACCGGTCGTGCCCAAAGTAGCGCAAACCTTAACAAATAAATAAACCACGCATAGTAATTGAATATTTAAAATTGTAATAAGCGATTAAATAATTTAAACGTTCTACAAACAATAAGTGTAAAAACATTAGTCTACAGTCGCATAAGTTTCTGTCATCAGAGAATAACTTTCAATTTTCCTCCGCCCGCAAGGAAATTTAATTATCAGTATTGAACCTCGTTGTTGATTGGACTCGCGGGCGATTTCTGTGTCACGATGAAAACATCTTGCCTCCGCGGATAATAATTTCCTATACTATAGATTGGCTTGAAAAATGAGTGATGCCGCCCTTGGGGACCAACTAGCGTAAAAACAATTCGCCTCGAGAGCGTCATGTCCGCCTTATTTTCTATCGCAACTACTAAGAAGTCTCGTGAGGTTAATTGGTAGATCGATATCTTTATACTACAAGGCTACCTTAATGACGTTAATTGGAAACTACAGGTCATTTATGTACTATACACACTCTGGTTGTCCATTTGGGTATTTTGTTATAATTGGTCGAGAAGATGCATTTGATTTAGACTATACTGTTACCTTTTCATGACAGCTATAAATTGCTCGCTTGTTAAAAATAATGGAACAATCATGAATGTTGGTACTCACAAAAAATGGGAGTAGACCATCGGCTCTGTCACGAATTATTGCTTCGAGTAACCCCTCTCCCCTCATACTGAGTTCATCGTCGGATTCGATGTACCTCATTCGCACCAAACCTATCAATCCAGCTTTTTCTACACTGGAATGAGCCTATAATACAATAAAATTTTATTTATTATGTAAAACATAAAATTATCATAGTCGTAGCATTATGTATATTAATCTGTGCTCCAGTATTTTATTAATAATGTGGAGACATTTTCTTAAATAGAAAATCCCTTTTTCAGCTACTTGCCTCGTGTAAAGGTCGTTATACATGGTGTATCCAAACTGGTAATGCAACCCGAAGGTATCTGCTGGATACGCGTACCGATTGAAAAGGACTCGGCTAACGCGTCCGTTCATTACATGCTGGTTCTACTTATTGTAAGCACGAATACACTCCAAAAATATGGGAGTAAAGTTCATAATTAATGGAACATAATTATTCTGTTACTATCGTAATTATATTATTATATTTAATAAAAGTTACGAAATCTGTACACTACTGTATTGTAGAATAATATTTTTTTCTTTCTTTAATTATCAGATCTGGTCTTACACTTTTCGCCAATAGTGTACATACGTGTTAAATTTTCAAAATTGATTACCTCGGAAAAAAAAAAGCTTACAAAGGAAATTTTATTCCAACAATCATCTACCATGTACGTATTCATGCTCGCAATAAGTAGAAACGGAATGTAATAACCAGACGCGTAAGTCTAATTCAATTGCACGCGTATACAACAGATCTTCAAATTCGACTATTTCAAAAACGAAGCATCGCTCGAAAAAATTTTACTCCACATTTTCGACTTATCTGTGCATGCAGAATGACCTCCCTTCGGGTTGTACCATTAGTTCGAAGACATTCTCTATAATACAAACAATGATGAATATTCTTAAAGTAAAAATGTTTCCGAGGAATGAATAACAAATGTAACTGAAACGAAGGAAACATTCGTCAGTAGATTTAACAATAATTCTAAATATCTAAAATTTGGTTAATTAAGTAGTAGACCCTCGTAATAGTGATCAAATCGCGAGGATTTAATTTCCAAATAAAATATTATCCTACAAAAATAATGGTACGCAAAAGTGTTGTTTAATATCTCCCAGATGTCCTTTGCAATGGCGCCGTATTTATAAAAGGAACTCGCAGGAATTTTATGTCAGGGAAAGACTCTTTCCTTATTACCTATTCAGCAATGGGAATACGTACTTGGTCGGAGCAGTACCCGACAAGACGCGAATTAATCTCGGCTGGTAAACGGTCCGGCTCATTTTGTTGCACGTCCCTAATGGCTCGTGTTCTTGCGGCTAGCAAGCAGACGAGGGTGGCTTCCGACGCGGTAGTCTGTATCACGCCACCGCCACCGGATCCTCCTGGACGATGCAGGAATTCCTCTGGCAGGCCAATCATTTTCCCCAGCCAGTTCATTACGATAGTCTCCAGTTCCGTGCACGCGGGACTCGATGCCTTTCCAAGCACACCCATCAAGATTCAAACGTTTTACATTTGAAGAAACAGTGAGTTTTATAGAGATCTTACCCAATTTTTCTTTGGAGCATATTTGATGATACATTAGCTTTGAAAAGTTTCAATAGATACATGGGCTAAGACGTCTAAGGGAAAATGTTTTTAGGTCTTTATTCTATTGTTAATGTTTACTTTTATTGGGGTAGATATGCGAGTATGAGGAATGTTAATTCCTTGCCCTATGATTTTCTTGACGTCTGCAGTCTCTCGGATTACATTGTTATCGATAGTTTTCCAGAAACGAAAGGAATTCTGTGGCTATCGTAACTGTACTTTTATTGTAAAAGGTAAATATTAATACCAGTAACGTGGTACTTCACTTCGACTCGAAGAAAACCGAATAATATTCTTTTCTGTTGAATCGATTTTCAAATCGTCAACACGAGTCTGACTCTATGTTATAGGGCAAGGGGTTAAGTCATTGAATAATTGATTACTGTTATGGTTTTGAAATATTCCTCACTTTTTTGTAACACTTGGAGGCAGGTGTCTTTAGACTTAGATCTTCATTCTTTGGTTAATATTTATTTTCATTGTGGTAGATACGCGCGTATGAGTGAATAATTGATTTCTGTTACGATTTTGAGATTTTTCTCAATTCTATTAATACTTGCAGACAGATCTCTTTAGACTTGGGTCTTTATTGCTCTCACACATGTCATTATAGTTAAATCTGTAGTGACTGTTAATGTTTACTCCCTTTAGACTCGATATGCAAGTATAAGAAATATTAGAATGTTGTGTCGATGAATAATTGATTTCTATTATGGTTCCGAGGTACTAAATGAAAATGAAAAATGAATTGTTCTTAGTTTAGACTGTATACAATTCATATGACATTCACCAGCTGTTAATAAAAATTGTGTAAACAAGTGAATTTAAATTCTATTAACTACACTAACGTAGTATTGATTGAATTCCGAATGAAAATAGTATTGCATTCATGCAAATTGTTAAGTTTCCTCGATGAAGAGTTAAAGAGTTATTGAAGGTATTGAAAAAATAAAATGTACGTTAATTAAAGCAATCAATACGTTGAATACGAATAGAAACAGCTCTTGCGATCGGAAGGAACAATGTTTCTTACTGATCCAAAAATTAGAATTGTTTCACGTGACTCACCCAAGTGAATCCAAGACAATTTATCGCGTCGGCTAGCATGTCTGCCAATAAGCTGGCGGGCGAATTTAAGGCGGGAAAATAAGCGTGCATGTGCGGACTCTGCCAGTGCGTGACACCCGGCATGATACATTTTTCGATGTCGGCGAATATGTTCTCCCATGGTTCGCCGTCCACTGGCGCCGACGATGGCAGGACGTTCCTTAGGTAACCCGGTGAAACTGCTGGATAAACGCGTCGGGATCGTATGTTCTCCAGGTAATCGGCGATATAATCCACCATTTCCTTTCCTGAGAGTTCCAAGTAACAAAATCATTTCCTGACCTCTACTGTATTCACAGAAATATTTGTAATACAGATAACCCCCGTATAACAGGGTGGTTAAGTTCTGAAAAATTACTATGTTATAACAACGAAATTAAGAACTAGTATGTATTCCAAAAAACTAATAACATTACACTATTCTGCAGAATTCTCTAACTATATTAGAATAAAACTGTGTTATTTGAGGGTTCATCTAAATCTCTAACCGTCGTAGAATGAAACCGTGTTATATGAGGGTTTATCTGTACCAATGGCTTTCAAATATCAATTAACTTCGATTATCCGAACTAATAGGGAGATAAATCCAGTGTGATAAACGATTTTTTTGGGCAATTTGCTCTAGATCCACTTTTTCATATAACAATAGAAACAGATGAAACAATATCATCTTCGTCCAGTTGCTCTGTGTTATCGATAATCAACGATTTACTGTGTATACCTTTTGAATATAAGATCTAGATACTTCAACATTCAACCAGAAGCAATGCTAGATATCCTATTCCTTACTAAAAAAAATACTGTACTGTCAGTGTTTGTGTCCTGAATTTGACCTTCTATTGAAGCTTGTTCTATTAAGTTGTAATCGAACAAACTTATACATCAAGTAGGAATTTCTTAATAATAAAAATCGTTTTCTTATTATCACGAAAAATTATAGACAAATATTTTGTGTCAAACTTTACGTAGTGACAAACAAAATCGTGGTTTGTAGGAAAAACCTAGTACAGACTGATTTATGCTTTAAATCGATAAACACGATGGCTGCATGCCAAGATTCTTCGACGCAAGAGAAATTATTTAACTTCGATGGTTGACCTTAAACCGATTATCCCTTGTTCGTCCTATTCTGGGGATTCGGTCTTAAACACTCGCGGTAAAACACTTCCCCGTCGATGCAATCGTGATCTCGAGCGGTATGCCTTTGTCCTTTTCCCAATTCGTTCCGCTGATGTACGTCGCGTGCAACAATGGAATCCGATTCGTGTTGCTTAAACGTTTCTCGAAGACACTGATCAAGTACTGCTTCGTTTAAGTACCACGAGTGAAATGTTGTTCCATGTTAAAACTATGGTGCCGGTCAGAAGAAAGCTTAAAATTCGTTATATAGAAACATAATGACAGTTTTTCCATTCGAAATTGTAATTAATATTGAACAATTGTTATTACATCTGTTACCCCATGTAGTTCTTTCTATGTTCTATGGATATTTGCCATTTGTCTGACAAAAGATTAATTCTCCGTAAATAAAACGAAGTTGCACCACAGTGTCAGCTTAACTGCAATGATCATTAATTTTACGTATATCTAATGTACTAATTATGTTGGAGGAATTTGTAAACGTTAATAGCATGTAATAGAAATAGCAGTTATTACAATAATTAGACTCCTGATTTTAAGCATTAGTAACACACATGATTGTTTGGAATTAATTGTAGTTGAGAATTCGATAAAGTCTGACGAGGTTCTGCATTTTATTTGAAACCTGGTAGAATGGTAAATAAATTAAAGGAATTTTTGTTTGATTCCAGTTCTTGTAAATTAGACTGCAGAAATCTGTATTTGCATAAAAATCTGTAGTCTAATATTAATATTTTATGAAAGATAGTTATATTGTATTTTAGTACAATATTATAACAGAACAAATAATATTTGTTAAAGCTTGTTTCTTAAACTTAATGTTAAAACACATCTGTAGTAAAAAATACACAAGGTATAGTAATATCTAGCTGTTTTTAGATCCTTGTTTGCTAAAACAATCTCCTATCGCCATTCTTGTTATCATACGTGAAATATAATTTACATCGTCACTTTTAAATAGATTCTTCTTACTAAACTGCAGAAGTTTATGTAAATCCACAATTTCAGTTACAAATATCTAAAATTCAAAATGGGACAGAATGTTGAGTTTTGTACTAGGAGCTTCACTACATTAGTAATAACATACAAGTAGTTATAAATTTTATTAAAAACTTTACTGCATTTTCTAAATTAAGGGATGATATAAATGCATAAATATCCGCAGTCTGTTTTTTACTATCTTGACTTCGTATCACGTATATCTTTTCGATAAATGAATGATCATTCCAAAATTTACTTCGTCTTACTTAAGTTACACTTGGTTTGTTAAGGTATTCCTTGTTCAAACCTTCTAATAGCCGCCACTGTAATATCACATTGTTCCAACAGTGACCCCGAATTTGAACCTCGTTCGGGATTGAAGTAATACTCGTTTGCACGGACTCTGTCAATTTTACAAATCTTCGATAGTGTGAACAGGAAAGTCGACGTTCCACGCGAAATTGGATTTAACGAAAAGGGAGACGTCACGTTGCATTTGCTTGCCATGGATCCAGAGATTTAGGTTCTAAAGACGGAATCCAGCGTTTGGTCCGTATTGGAAACGGTATCGAATCCATAAAACTCCCATAGACTTACTCCCGTTCGGTGATCCCTCTTTATTGGCGCCATTTTAACGCCCCAGGAACGATGCACGCGTATACCCAGCTCCGTTACGAGAATTACAACGTTTCGCGAACATTCACCAGGAATCGTAAACATCTGTGGTAATGCTGGACACTGCGTGACGATACTAACGAGACTTTATGGCCATCAGGTTTTGTTCCTTTTATGTGCCGCTCGCAATAAAAGGAATTTAGTATAAATTGTATAGTTTAACGAAGTCGTGTGGCTACCGAGACTACAGTGATTCGTGTACTTCTTTCGTACATATTAAGGACAACAATGTTCGATAATGTTGTTCCCCTTGATCTTGTCAGCTTTACATTACTTATACTTTGTTTAAAAAACTATGTCAACTGTCAGTACTCACCATGCTCGCGATACTCCTCTAGATTCATATTGTCTGCAATGAAAAACAGAGTGCACGCACTATTATGTAATTACTTTACGACGATGAACGTTTTTATGTGTCCTATTTGGATGTACAGAATGACTCTGAAAGGGATGATATCTTGTAGGAAATGCTGTGGGAAGCATGATGTGATAGAACATTTTATCAACGTCTTATGTGTATTTAATACGACGATTCATTATGGCGACCATGTTTCTCAGTATCGTATTTTTATTTTCCAGTTGCAGTAAAACGATCAGTGTACACGAATGTGTCTAAAAAATTAAGAAGAACCATGGAATTCTATTGGGAATGCAAGTAATATATTACACTAGGTACGGTAGCCATATTGAATATCTGTTGTAACATTTACTCATATTACCAGAATACTTTTTATGCCATTTTAACCTCTCTAACAGCATCCTCAAGATCTATTTCAGAGATTTTGTGCAGAAATTATTTTAAGAAAACTAATAAGTAATACACAATATTCGGAACAAAATAAAAACCGTACGAAAACAAGGAATATCAATATTCCACACGTACATCTGAACAAATATTTAATATCGTGTTTACTAAGAAACAACTATCGTTGAAATTATTATGTTTATCGACGCAGATCGTTCGTAAGGATTCTTCGGCGGGATCGGAATCATTTTTTCGCTCACCCTCGACTTTCACAACAGCCAGATCTCGAAATTCCGATGGCACCGTATCAGGCGCATGTGGTGAACGGTATAATTCACTTCACAGGCGGAAGTTAAGGTACCCGGGTGAAAGGATTCAGCCGTTTTCACGAGCGTATAACCCACGGAAGTTTCGATACTCGCAACGACGCAATGGATTTCAACGTAAAGACTGAGGGGACACGCTTAGCTGCCCCTATGCGTGTTGACCTAGCACCGAACTTTCACGCCGCGATGGCCACTCGCGAATAGATTTTCTACGGATTCATCCTCGATCGATTGTCACATGGGCCACAGAGCTTATTAGGCTAGTGTCACAAGGCTCGAAGCGGCCTAGAACTAGATCGGTTGCATTCGACTCGAGCGATCTGACCTTTCCATCCTGTCTTCTAAAACGCGGAAAACTCTTCTTTTCCATCAATTAACACTTAGTCCGGTAGCTTGTATCACACAGAAATTTATGCCTGTCGTTGGATGTGTTACCACTTAGTGTCACAGTGATAAAATGGTATGTTCAATTGAGCCAAGTTATGGGGGCATCTACCAACTCTCAAAATGACAAATAATTATTTAAACACACTACGAACCCCATAGTTTTGTGATGTTCATTTTACAAAAAGTTACCCACCCATAGAACATGTCTTACATTAATTATAGAATTACTAAAGCTACCAGGTCATAGAGAATTTAAAATACTAATTTTACTACTCTCTATTAACACTTTGACTGCCACGTCACCCAAATACGGGTGACACGTACATTGCAAAGAAGCTGGATTATCTAAATATTATTATAAAAGTTTTGCGTAAAATTAAAATCGCAGTATAATTTAGAACCAAACCAACTGTATTAACTATACACATATATTTTCTGCCTGTATTAACTATGCACATATATTTTCGACAATTTATAATTTAAAAAACGAGACAAAGTGCGTCTGACTACGTACGACCATTTTCACTGTGGCAGTCAATGTGTTAAATAAGCTATTAAAAATTTAAATAATCAGTTTACTTCATTTCAGATCGTTGGTGGCTTTCTGTATAACTCGGCAGCTTTCTCCATAACTTGGCCCAACTTACATAATTTATACATATACAGGGTGTAACAAAAATGTTGGAGGTTTCTGAAATGGGATACTCGTGAGGCGATTTGAAACAAATTTATCCTTAACAAAAATGTTTTCTGAGGCATTGTTAACTAGATATTGACAAATAACAATTGCACTCGTGAACCTGAGGTAATTTAAGAACGATAACAAATAATAGAAATTGTGAATTTACGCAGATGTAAAAGCGGCCAGTTAAGTGTTAATGTGGATTTAATCCTTCCTTTAGCAACCATTGAGACACAAAGAAACGATTCACGTTTCTATACAGCTACAGCGAAACAAAGATGGAAAACAGATAATACGGTACCGTTATTAATGTTAATTACAAATAGATATTATATTCTGTCGCATATGTATCCAACATAATATGTATTTTGAAGCCTGATTTTCTCAAAAACGAAGCTTCATATACAAAAGCTGCGTTATGCATTTTGTGTCTGTTTTTCGTAGAATTGTATAACGTTTTGAATTTTGACGTGGAAATTTTGTTAGTCTTTATGAATTTGTAGTAAATACTTTATTGTTGTCACTTCTGTTACATCAGTTTGGATATATATAGTACAATTTAGTTTGCAAATTCACCGACGATCCTAACTTGCTTGGTCAGTCCTATCGTTGAAATTTTCGATCCGTTCCGCGGAAGACACAAACATGTCTGGATTTCGGCTAATACTCGCGAGTGAGATTCTCTGTCCCCGAAAACGGGATTAATCCCTTGGAAGAAGTCACCGCGTATTTACGCCTATTCCGAAACGTCTGTCCCCTTAGTTTGGGTTCGTATCGCGCAATCTAAAATTTAATTACAATTATTTAGATCTTGCATTTTGAACTTCATTAGTTGTAAATAGAAAGAAATAGTACAAGATTGTTTAACAACTGTTGGAAGGAAAAGTTTCCTCAAGATCGTCTTTTTTTTCAATATCAAATTTGTTCAATTCAAAATCATTTATCGCGACTCTGTGTCTATTTAGCATGGACTTAAAATGAACACAATATAAATTGGTTTATATGAAATTATTGTAAACACCAAATAATACCGGATTGTCGTTAATATTTATAGATTCTAATATCAGTAGAAATATCCAGTAAAAATCAGACGCATAAACCACGTGAAAACACACCAAAGGAATTTTGAGAACTAATTTACCCGAAAACGAAGTTTCCCATGAAATAATATCATTTGTATTGTTAATTTCTATTCTCATAGTATGCAACTAAACGGATATAAGTTAACCTACATGTGTACGAAGAATCATAAAGAACACCTCTAATGAAAAAAGTTTACTGAAAGAAATTGCCACTAAATCTATTCAACCCTATTATCTCCTGAATTTTGCTAGTCTTGTACTAAATATCAAATTCTCTTATTATGTTTAACACTAGAACTACCGAATAGGTTACGTGTTTCTGTTTCTATAGCGTTGGTAAAAGAGACAGCTTGTTGGAAATACGCACATCGATAAATTAACGAAATTCTTCACTTGTGCATTACAAGAGATGTCACAGAAAATCCCAAATAATACAGTATGATATTTTAACAATTTTTATAACAATTTACCAATTTCGATTCTAGTGTTAACAGTAAAATTTCCAATCAAGAAATGTCAGTTTCGATTTATACGTTAAAGAGGAGTCTATTCGGAGAAATTTCATTCATACCCAAAATTCACGTCACATATCCGCCCGATGGATCCTTAGCCCCGGGTGAAAAGGATCGGCGAGCAAGGGGGGAACGATCAAGACCCGTTATCCGGCGGCGATTACACACGAGAAAATAAAAGATCCGGGGAGGCCCGGTGCCGTCGCGTAAAATGGAAAATCGAACGTCGACAGTCACGAGGATCTCTCACCGAGCTTAAGCCCAGAATGCCGTTCGACGATATTAAAAGCTCGTCCTTCCACCGTTTCCGTTTCCGACTTTTGTAATTTCCCGTAGCTTTCAGTATTCGTGCCCGCGATTCGAAGGATTTATCAGCGATGCCTGCTGCTTGGGTGTTGACGGGAATCGCGCGCTTGGTTGTACACCTGATGCCGATTCGCGGGATTTTTCACCGGATAATAACAAGACAGGTGAATGGAAATCGTGCCCATCCCATTTGCGCGTCTTGATCCCGCCGATAAGCGAATTGCTCGCTCGAAAAACACATTCCGACGTATAGATTGTACAGTACGAATGTTGTTTTAATTTCTACGGAATGAATGAAACATTTATGGAAGCTTAAAGGATTTGGAGTAGAACGATAATTAGTAAACTTAAAGGTTTATGCAATGCTTGCAATCCTCAAAGAAAAGAGAAAGTAATGGTACCAATTGGAAAATTTGGTTCTTCAATTTAAATATAAAACATATCACCTCGTACGATTCTAATTTTACAAACTGAGGAACTGGAGCCATTTCTGTGGGTTTTCTATAGAAAAATTCCTAACTTCTGTACTTATTTTTATCGAATGTTTTAACTAAAGTTACCATTAATTTTTGAACGGTGTAAAATTGTAGTTCGTTGGAATTATAAAGTAGGTAGTAAGAATGGTCTATTGAATTATGTAATACTTTTTGTTGTACTGACCTTATTGAAGGATTTAAATTCCACGACGATGAGGAACTGCGAGACTCGACAAGGTTAAGTCGGAAGAAAGATACAAATTTGTTGGATGATGAACAACTTCTGGAGCAAGTATACAGGGGTTACTGATTTCGGTACTGGACAAAACAGATATATTCACGGTTGAGGAGGATCGGTGGAATGCAAGTCGTTCAACAAGTGGCCGCTTTTATATAGAGACGCGGTAAGTACTAGCTGCTTTGGCGCAAGCGTGGCCCAAGACCAAGACGGAACGAGGAACAATTTCCGAGCGACTAAGCTTTCGGGATCTTAAGGGACTGCCGATAAACGATCTTACGTTCCTGCGCGCAATCTCGATTAATTTTATCGAGAAAAAACACGCCAAGTATTGTGATTATGATCATATTCATGTTTTCATAGAGGTAGTTTTACAGTACCAGGATGCTAGGAACCATAGAAACTATGTGACCATTATGAATATACAATAATAATTAGACATTGATTACCGAAAAAGGACTTCTTTTGTATGCATTAGAATACGCAGTGTGGTTAGATTCCTTTAGCTTAAATGTAAGCTAACATTTGGTTTTCGGGGTCATTCAAACTACTTTAAATTTTTCCTGTAAAACACAATAAAAAGGTAGTTA